TTCACATACAAGCGATCGGTGACTCTAAAGCCTGCCAATCGCTTGTATGTGCTGTCTGGCTGCGCACACTCCCTCCACCTCCTCGAGTGCCGCCGCCACCGCTCCCCCTCCTGCACCCTCACCTTCAATATCGGGATCCGCTGCCCCATCTGCGGCCCGGGACGGGCTCGGGAGGGTGTCAGGAGCTGATCTCCTGACTGAGCTGATCCTTGCTGATCTCCCTCCGTACTGTGAATGCGGAAGTGATGTGTATTACATCACTTCCGCATTCACCTGTCAGTCATCTGGCTACTATTGCCAGAGAGAAGAAGCGCATGAAGCAGATCCCTATAGCTTCATCAGCTTCTTTTGGGGTCCCCAGGTGACATTAGGGGTCCTAGGGAACACTGAGAACACTAAACTGATGAGCCGTAAAAACTTTTAAAGCGTCACCTATGGACAATTTTGGGTATTGTAGTTTTTTGGGGTTTCGCGGGCGCGCGCAATTTTAAGGCTTGACATGTTTGGTATCTTTTTACCCGACGTGACCCCGTCTTTTATATTTTACCAAAAAATTGGGTAATAATACATGTTTTATTGGGTAATAATAATTGGATAATAATACATTTAAAAAAAACACTTTTAACCACTTAAAGCCAGGGGGGTTAAACCCCCTTCCTGGCCAGGCCATTTTTCAGTATTCAGCGCTGCGGTACTTTGACTTACATTTATTCCATTTATTTTTTAACCGAAGATTTAAAAAAAACCTGTTCCCCCTATATTAAATAATATAGGGGGAACAGGTTTTTAAAAAATTTCGGTAATTTTTCCTTACTATAGTAAACAAAAAAAAACCCTCAGTGGTGATTAAATACCACCAAAAGAAAGCTCTATCTGTCCCAAAATATGGTATAAAATTAATTTCAGTACAGCGTTGCATGACGGAATAAATGTCAGTCAAAGTACTGCAGCGCTGAATACTGAAAAATGGCCTGGATGGGAAGGGGGTTTAACACCACGGACTTCAAGTGGTTAAAAGTGTATTTTTAATAGAGTTCTCCTTTAAACCCTGAACCCCAGGCCCAACACCTAAACACACATTTCAAATACACATATGTGAGCTGCCTTGCCTGCCAAAGGATTTGTAATTCTGTCTAGCCACTTCATTGTTAAATAAATGTCTGCAAGACAACACAGCCGGTGACACCACTTTGTCTGCTAGAGTTAAAGGAGAACTATGGGGTTAAGGCTTTTCCCCATAGTTCTCCTTAGGGTAACGGGAGGACACAAACTAGCGTCCTCCCGTCACCCTAAGCTCAGTATACCACGAGCAACAGCTCGCGGTATACTGAGACGCCGCAGCTGGAGCGGATCCCGACAATTATGTCTGGATCCGTCCAGCTGCGTGAGTGACAGCTGGCTCTGCCTATCTAGAGGCAGAGCCAGCTGTACCCGCCCCCGTCCGATCCGCCAGTCAGCTCTGGCGGATCGGAGCGGGAAGGGGGGAATCCAGCCCCTTCCCTGTCACGGCAGAGAGCCGTGACAGGATCGAGAGGTGAGCGAACGCCGGTATGTGTTCGCTCACCTCCCGATCTACTGAGCCGACCTGTGACAGTCTCATTGTCACAGGTCGGCTAGAACTATGAGGTGAGTGAAAACCACTCACCTCATAGTTCTCCTTTAAGGAATACAGTGTTCTTACCACCTTCATCTCTGCTCTCTCCTTCTATCAGAATGGCTTTGTCAGCAAATGTTCATACAGCAGAACCTTATTGGTTACTCACACATGCTGCCCATTCCTCCTCTAGCCTATTGTGCAAAGTAAGACATGATATCAAGCCAGATTCAGTTTCGTATACTATACCATATGTAAAGATTCATATAATTATTTTACATGAATACACAGCAGCATTAAATGGTGTCTTTTCTAGCTGCCTGAAGTTCAGCTTTAAGTGAATCTGTCACACATGAAACAAAAATCACAGTAGCATAGAAAAATAAAGCAGAGATAAGCTTTCCCTTTCCTGCTGCCTGTAGGTTGGCCCTGATACTGCTTGATGCCTGATCACCATCTAGCGATGCAGTGAGGTGGAGAGATGCTACAGGACAAAGACATCCTCAGCATCACTTTAGCTATGATTTCCATAGATGATCCTTGTCAGATAATCCTGAACTAGCCTGAGATGTCTATTTTTATATAACACTCTAGACACAGCGCAGGGCCTTCAGTAGGTGTCTGCAGCTAACTTAAAGAAAATCTTTAAGGATAGAAACAGTAACTGCATGTTCTCCATTCACCAAGTATACCGCCAGCCTCTTCCTGCAATCACTAAATCTCCAAAGCTGCACTTCATTTCACATGCAAATTTTGACCCTCCATGCAAGTCAACAGCTTGCTAGGCTCAATCCCTATAGCTGTCTATGGCGCAGCCCTTCTGTATGTTCTACAAGATGCCAAGTACTCTGATTCTTGCAGGATAACTCCACGCAGCACAAGTTAGAAGGGACTAGCACTCACTGACAGCTCGGCTGCAGCACAATACTTCATAGGAAGAAAGTAGGTGGCAGTGCCCACAGCAATATCTCCCAAGAAGGGCAGTTAGCCTGGAGGCCACTTTTCCCATTTGTTTGCTAGGTAAGAGGGCTATGGAGTGCCACTTTTACCATTTTTCTATATGCTGAATTCACACATAGGTTTGCTTTAATGAGGTTAAATTGTTTTCATATCACACAGTCATTAAAGTGTCACTAACCCCAGAAGTTGAATCTTAAAAATGCATCTTAACTAATAACAAAACATTTACTGTGTTTGTGTATCAGTCAGCTGTTAAGCCTCAAATCATCTCTGAATTGGTGCTGACACTGTCCTTCCTTCTAGAAGGAGGCTACTTTTGTTCCCCATGGTCCCTGTGTGTGTTGTTATCACCACCACACCAGCTCGCTCCCGTCATGCACTACAATCTCATGTTTAGTTTACTAATTTGTATTCAGATTGTGGTCCATCACAGGAGCAAGCTTGGAGTGGTGGCTACTTCACAACTCACACAGGGACCATGTGGATCAAAAGTCACCACCCTCCAGAAGGAAGGACAGTGTCAGCACCAATTCAGAGATGGATTGAGGATCTACAGCTGAGTGATACACAAATGAGGACCAGTTTTGTTAATAGTTAACCCTTTTACTGCCACCGACATAAGGCTTACGTCGGTGGCACTGGGCCCATTTAAACATGACTCGCTCGGACTCTGTTTACACTTGTAGAGCCAGCTTTATAATGGAAGTGATTCTGGCATCTCTCCTGCGGGCCTGGGACTGGCGGTTGACAGTGGGAAGCTGGGGGGGAAAGCAGCGAACATCCGTTCACCGATCTCCTCCCCGCTTTGTGGGACCGGGAGCAACGTGTATTGCATCACTTCCGGTCCCTGAGCTGTCATTGCTCGGCTGCTAAACCCGAGCAATAAGCTATTGAAGTGCAATCTGCACTTCAATAGCTTATTTAGGGCTTGTTCACACCATGTCCGGATCATGTCCAGACCAGAACAGTATGTTCCCGGACCAAAAAAGCATCCCAATGTATCTCTATGGTATTTCGATGCTCGTTTTTGATGCGTTTCCATGCATTCCAGACCAGAGAAAATGAGACGAGCAGTATTTCTTTTGTTTGGACTTGAACGAACTGCACTGGTGTGTCAGAGCCCAGAAATTGGTCCAGGAACAAACTGTTCTGGGCATGATCCAGACATGGCGTGAGCAACCCCTAAAGTGGAAAGGTGATATTGGGGGTCTTTTGGACCCCCAGTGTCACTTTAAAGAGGACCTGTCACCACCAATATGCTATCACATTAGGGGCTTGTAAACCACCACTAAAAAAAAAAAAAACTTTTCGAAAATAATATTAAATAAATATTTTATTTTTTTAAAGTCCCCTGCACCCGCGAGCGCATTCACGTGAACATGTGTCAGGTGCGCCTATGTACGAAAACAACGATCGCACTACACGTTGGGTATCGCCATGCACACCAGAGAGCAATAATTTTAGGGCCAATATTTATGCGTATCTCTAAACTGATGACCTGTAGGATGACCTGTCTATGGACTTTTTGGGGTACTGAATTTTGTCTCCATTTCAAAGATGCACGTCATTTTTAACCTGGCCATGTTGGGTATCTATTTACTCGTCATAAACAGTGGTATTATATTGTGTTTTGGGGCACTAAAATTTACTCAAGTGCATTTTTCATAAAATGTTTGGGTTTGATAAAGAGTTGCACCAATATGGTGCAACAACAAAAAATTACAATTGCCACCATTTTATTCAACAGGGTCTTGGCTTTCAGAAAATGTATAATGTTTGGGGGTTTTAAGTATTTTTCAGGCCTAAAATGTGGATTATAATGTGTGCAAAAAACAAAAAGGCCTTGGAAGCGAAAGGGTTAAGGTACTTGAATGTATTTTTAAGCTTTAACTCCTCAGTTTAAAGAACTCTTTAAAGAACTGAAGGCTTTTTTTTTTAACATACATGTGGCAGAGATCAGTTCCATGCAAATAATATTATCAGTGTGTGTAAATATATTAAAAGCCTTGATTCTTTGTATATTTTGTAATAATGTATGTACACAAGGGCTTGTTATATCCAGGAATCGTTCCCTGCTAAGTAGTATTGCACAAAGGTTGAGCTTTGAAGATCCTCTTATCTTGGTCCACATCTATCAGACAGAGTCCCATGGCTTCAGTACTTTTTAAACTCCCTGGCTTAGAATAAATATGCAGATAAGGAGTTTTGACATTACTTCCTGATCTGCATATTTGTTCCAGGCCAGTAACTCAAAGTGTTAAAGCCAAAGACAGCCAGGTAACTAGTATTTCCTGAAGGTCAGTCATGGCGCATTCTGTATCTCTATAAGCACAGGTTACCTTTAAATCCAGTGTAACGTACCATCTCTCTTCTGTTTCCTTGTAACCTTACGTTTGCTCAGCCTTTCACGCCGTATTTTATTTTACGTCTCTCTTTTCTCGTCCAGGGTGAATCATCCCAACATCCTGCAGCTAATCGATACATTTGAAACCAAGAAGGAATTCTATATTATTCAAGAACTGTAAGTTGGTGTTGCTAAGAATATACCGGACCTGTGCTGCTGTGCGCAGACAAAGAACAGGAGAACAGAGATTAGGGTCAAACTCCATGGGAGATTTGCAGTTATGCAACTAAAAATATTCTGTAATGGAGTGCAGATTTCCATAGACATTCGCTGAAAACTGAACATACTGCTTTTTCTGTGTAATTAATGGTGGACAAGCGACAAAGCATGGCAATCGCTGGTGAAATCTAACCGGACTTCAGCAGTTGATTAAAGAAAGCTGCCAAAATAGATTTGTAAAGTAGACTTTTTGCCTTAAACTGCCCATTAGAGATGAGCCTGAGCTTGGTGCGAACCCAGTTCGCCTGAGTTCACCCAAGTCCGCTCAAAATTGTGACCACCAACCCCTCTTCCCAGTCCAATCAGTGGCGGCAGTTGTGGTGCGGGCATTCCCTACCCCTTTGTGACTTATAGCTGTGGAGCGAGGAATGCTCCTTTCTGCAACTGATTGGGTCGGGAGCAGGGGGGTGGGAGTCACAGTTTTGAGCAGTCTTGTTGCGAACAGGCTCATCACTACTGGTCATACTCATGGGACCTTTACCACAATTTTAACCACTTTCAATCGAGTTGGAGTTTAAACCCCCCAGCTATCATACATTGAAAATAGTGGTTTTGACAGACTACAAGAGGATGGGATCGAAATTGGCTTGATCAAAGCGGTGGAAAAATCGAATCACTTTTTACAAAATTGCCACTGGGCTTTTTTTTTTGTTTTCGATGTATTTTTTCAGTAATTTGTATTGAAGCGGTCAATTTTTAGCCTAGTTTTATCTACCTTGTGGGTGGTGGGTTACTTCTTTTCAGGCAACCACTTTCGATTGCTTGTTTGATTCCTGGTCAATCAAAAGTGGTTGAACTTGTGCCCACATTTCAGTCTAAAATGTTTCAATGTTTGGATCAAAGCTAAGAATTTTTTAGGATCAATTAGAAGAAGCAATTGGCCAGTCAAGACAATTCCAATTCATTTAATGGGGTTGTAGAAAGTATGCATAGCTCCCAACTGCCCCTCATTTGGAGGAAAGACCCTGATTTGTAAACAAATCCGTCTGTTTTTCTTTCTTGGAGTCCTGTAATCCATCCTGGCATTTTATATTTTGAAAAGCTAATATGAATGAAAAATAGTGATGAAAAGAAGCACACAACTCATTGTTTTTGTGACAGGGGCATGGCAGGGGTGTGCCCTGTACTTGCAACCTTTGCGCCAAAAAGTATCCCTCTTTCTCATCTCAGAAAGTTGGGAGGATTGGGCATGGCGTAATGAAACATTCCTTTTTTATATAAACTTTTGGGCCACGGTAGTCAAACGTACATCAAACTAATAAAATCTCTAGCGTGTATCACAGCGGCTAGTGCTGTCATCCTGCAACACTGAGGTATTGGGTTCATTTCCTATGGTGAACTGTATCTGCCAAGGGCATGTCTCTTTGTGGGTTTCCTCTGGGTATTTAGGGAGACTTTTTCCATATGCCATTCTGTCTAAATGTCAACCCCTCCGCAAGTCTTGTGACTGGAAGCATTGCTCAGTGCCTGAGTTGTGATCTAAACAGACAGACTTGGGGCCCTGGTGACTTCAGGTATCACTTTCTATCTTGTAGAGCCACAGGAGGTGATGTCTTTGACTGGATCCTGGAGCAAGGATATTACTCGGAGAAAGATGCCAGTAATGTGATCCGCCAGGTCCTCGAGGCCGTGGCTTATCTGCACAACCTCCACATTATTCATAGGAACTTGAAGGTAAGATGATCAGGACATGATAGATATATGGGTGACACTAACAGGGGAACAGCAACAGATATTAGGAGCTAAAGGGGTCTGTAGACATTGTATGGCAGCCAAAAGTGATTGATTGAATATGCGTGTTTATGCTGGTAGAAAAGGCAGGGGTAAATAAGACGAGTATCCCAGGCACTCAGTTGAAGAGGGAGGAGAAAAGAAGATGGGTATCCCAGGCACCCTGCGGAAGAGGTAGGGTGAAAGAAGAAGGGTATTCTAGGCACCCTGTGGAAGAGGGGAAGAAGGAGAGAATCCCAGGCACCCTGCGATAGAGGGAGGGTGAAAAGAGGAGGGTATCCCAGGCAACTCATGGAAGAGCAAGGGGGAAATAAAGTATGTATCCCAGACACCCTGTGAAAGAAGGAAGGTATTTCAGGCACCCTGTGAAAGAGAGAAGGGTAAATAAGAAGGGTATGCAAGGCATCCTGTGAAAAAGGGGAAGGTGGAAGAAGGAGGGTTTCCCATGCACTCTGTGGAAGAGAAGGGTGAAGAAATTTAGGTATCCCAGGCACCCTGTGGAAGGGAGGGGGAAATGGGTATTTCAGACAGCCAGTGGAAGAGGAAGGGAGAAGGAAGGAGGGTATCCCAGGGACCCTGTTGAAGAGGCTTGGGGGGGGGGGGGGGGGGCGGGGTGTGGCGCTGGCCGT